CGTTCTCTAGGCATATTGGGATAACGATAGAAGTGGTCATATTCTCGGAAACTGAAATTATTCTTTTCTGAAAATCGAATTTCCATTCCATCTCGCAAAGTTTTTTTGAAAACCGAAATCTTGCGAAGCCTACCAATATTGCGTTAGGCATATTCGGAGGTTGCATATTCTCAGAAACTGGATTTCGTTCTCTTCTGAAAATCGCATCTTTACTCCATCTCGCAAAATGTTTTGTTCAAGATCGCAGTTTGTAAAAGCCGAAACTTTGTGGAACCTAGCTTAGATCTCGTTCATAATACTCTTCTGACATGTCCTACTCATAATAGATCGACAGATATACAAAAAAAAAAAAAAAAGGAAGTAGTCCTCTTTTATTTTTTATTTTATTTTTTATCTGTTGATTAGGGCCGGAGGAAAGTATTGTTGGGTTGGTTTTCTACCTGTGTCTTTCCCTCCCACCCACCCTTTGCATGCATTTCCGGGTAGCTACTGTGACACGTCAGCTACAGTGACACGTCAGCAGTGCCACGTCAGACACAGTGACACGTCAGCTACAGTGACACGTCAGCAGGCCACGTCACACAGTGACACGTCAGCAGTGCCACATCAGCTACAATGACACGTCAGCAGTACCACGTCAGACACAGTGCCACGTAAGCAGTGCCACGTCAGACACAGTGCCATGTAAGCAGTGCCACGTCAGCAGTGCCACATCAGACACAGTGCCACATCATACAAAGTGCCACGTCAGCGGTGCCACGTCAGCAACATGACGGGCCTGCCAGGCCAACTGGCCAATGAGCCCATTGCCGACTACAAAAAGCGCTTCCATGCTCAGCTCGCTCTAATCGAGGCTGAGGAACAACGCCAGCTGGCAGCCAAGGCTGCCCAGCTACAGGCTGAAGAAGCGGCAACAGCAGAGAAGCTGCGGCTACAGGCCGAAGCAGACGCAGATGCCCAGGCTCGCCGCAAGGAAGCCCAGGCTCTGCTGTAGCGGCATGAAGCCAACAGCATCGAGAAACTCAAGTACTGGCACTTTGAACCGAACGGTGACGAGGCAACACCGGAAGAGCAGCATAAGGAGTTCATGGCCAAGCTCGTGAGCAGGTTGGTTTACACGTGTAACCACCTACAGTCCGAGCTGGCAAACCTCCAGCGGGCCGTGCGGAATCAYAAGACTCAGCACGAGGAKGCCACACRGGCACTGGACGCCCGTGTACTGGGCCTGGAACAGGCTGTACCAGGACCAGATGCTGGGGCTTCCAGCAGTGCATCCTCTAGCCGCCAACTGGAGGAACGTGTTGACCACGTAGTGGAAATGCTCGGCGACATCAGCACCTTCGCTGCGCCGACCACCATCAGTAGTCAGCTACATACCTTGAAGACCGAGGTCCAGCAGTTGCAGTCGACGAACGCGGATGACAATCCGAAGATGTACAAGATGCCAACTTTCCAACTGGACAAGTTCGACGGCTACATGCAGCAGGATCTGGTCCTCTGGTGGGAAGCATTCACAACGCAACTCAGGATTCTGCCCGTAGCCACGCATGCGTACATCGGCGCCCTGTTCCTGAACTCAAAGGGCGGATGCCAGACCTGGTTGAGCCACCTGGCAACCTCCCACGGCGTCGACGTACCGGACTTGAAGGACAAGATCACATGGGAGGAGCTGACACGGCTGTGGAAGAAGCGGTTCATCGTCGACGACGCGCCGACACTCGCCATCAACCGTTTGTTCACCATGTCACAGGTCAACACTGCAACACGGGATTGGCTCACGGAGTGGCAGAAGATTGCGGCAGTGCCCATTCTGGACTTGGCATTCGTGCATCTACGCCGGGAGTTCTAAAACAGGTCCTGTGCTGCATTGAGCCAGGCTCTTGGTGATCGCGAGCAGTACTCCACCTTCGCTGAGATCATTGACAAGGCGAGGGAAATCATCAAGACCAACAGGTCAGCTGCACACGAGAAATCAACATGGCAGCCGACCTATGTGGAGAAGGTACGAACTGGTCCGCGACAGCAGCACTTCGCTGCAGTCCAGTCGGACAGTGGAGATAACCCAGCAGCCACTCCAGCATCAAGTGACAGAGATCAGGTGGCTGTTGTCCAGCCGCGAAGCAACAACAAGTCCCGCAACAATGGGAAGGCGAAATCCGCATCGCAGGCCGGAAATGGACAACCATTACAAGTTCCATGGGTCAAGTTCGGCTTGACCGAGGCGGAGTACAAGGTCCGCGGCCGCTACGGCAGCTGCTATTGGTGCAACAGCACCAAGCACAAGMCCTCCCTGTGCCAGGATCAGGGCAAGGAGGATGTGCGACCCCGCCTCAGCTCGGGAAACTGAGCTCCCCGGAAGGTGAGGCGACTCCACCTTCTGCTCCGCCAGATTCGTCCGCCTTGCTAGCGGCCTCCTGCACATCTGGGGAGAACGCGAATGTCGCAAGTTCTCGTTACACTTACGAGGACTATGCTGTCCACTTGGTTCCACCGCTGGACCAACCGCTCCACGTGCAACAATCTRYCGCATGCACGGTTTTATCACCATCGGCAACCGATTCGGCAGCTTCGCCGCCATCTATCGTCGGGGATTCATCGTCGTGGTCAAGACTTGAAGTACTCGACCCTCTGACGTTCACGGACTTCCAGTGCATGCCCGTTCCCCCTACCGGACGATTGCCGAAGCCGCATTGCAATGTGCTCATGGCACAACTGCGAGATTACTTGCACACTGCAGTACCGACTCCGTTGATGGACGCCGGAGTAGAGGTTGTCGACCTTCACGTCTACATTGCGAAGATCGACCGCGAGTTCAAGACACAACGGTACGACGACATCGACGCACCATTGCTATATGTACGCATTCAGATCGGAGAAGTGACCTGCAGCGCTTTGATCGATTGCGGAGCATCTCGCAACTACATCAGCCAGGACTTCATGGTGCGCGCCGACCTTGGCCCACGAGTCCGGAGGAAGCCCCAGCCTACGCAAGTCACATGTCGGACGGTCACATGCACAAGTCAATCGACCGATGCATTGACAGCGTCCCAGTGTACTTTGCCCCTCACGCAAGTGAGGCGGTGTCCTTTGACATTCTGGACACCAAATTCGACATGATCTTGGGCATGTCATGGCTGCGAAGCAAGGATCACCCGCTGAACTTCTTCAACCACATCGTTCACATTCGTGACTGGAACGGAGTATTAGTTCCATGCACGGTGCCTCTTCCTCACCCTTCTATCAGCTGCCACGTGGTATCCGCCGCAAGCATGCGAGCTTCCATCATCAGAGACGACATCGAGGAGATGGGGGTATGTTTTCTCCATGCCCTCCGGGCCCATGACGCTTCATCGACGGACTCACCTTCGGATCCACGCATCACCGAGCTTCTCGACGCCTACAGCGACGTGTTCAAAGGCCCGCACGGAGTAGTACCGGATCGGCCCATCCGCCACGAGATCATCCTCGAGGACGGGGCCGTACCTCCGCGCGGTTGCATCTACTGAATGAGTGAGGAAGAGTTAAGTGTGCTTCGGGCACAACTTGACGACCTTCTGGAGAAAGGCTGGATTCGGCCTAGCTCATCGCCATACGGTGCTCCTATTCTCTTCGTCCGGAAGAAGAACAAGGATTTGCGGTTGTGC